CCCTTATATTACAATAATAATCATTCAGTTTTTATACTCTTCTTATCATGCATAAAATTTGTATGCATGATAAAACAAAAAATTAAAATGCATAAGCACCTATAATGCTTACATATACACATACATAAGTTGTATATCTAATCAGATTACTTTTCAATAAAATGACAAGTGAATTATTATATATGAAGTAACAATAATGACAGCTAAATTTCATATCGTCATATATATTGTGTAGACTTATAGAAAGTGTGGAGAAAAATTCAATTATAATGTGAACAATATTAAAACTGTATGGTGTTAAATTAAAGTGGAATTTGTTTTCAAAAACCTTTACATTTTATTGAAAAAAAAAAAAACAGGTTCAAAATATGTTAATAAAAAAAATTTTAAGAACTTACATTCTTTTATGTAATTTTGTAAATTCCATTTTAGTGGTTTAAAAAAATATATGTATTCTTGTACAATAAGCATCTAAAGTACAGTACAGAACAGTAATATTTTACAGTTCATAATGCCTTAAGTTTATTCTTGATTAATATGCACTTAAGAAATTTTTAATAATTTTTTCGATATTTGCTCCAAAAACACCTAACATATTTTCCAATCTGTATCACACAGACATGACAATACTTTACGCTTTTATTTCTCAAAATTTATCTTAAGTCTCCCATTGTAAGAAATATAACATTGTTTAAGCGTATAAGGCACAACTTTTTAAGAATACTTTTCAAATCAATTGTGAACACGAACCTTCATACGAATTTGATGAAATATTCAATTAACACATTTAATGGGAAATATTGTTTTGTAAGCTGGCTGGAAAATTGTTTTTAATTGAAAATACCATTGACTCTATCATTATATTATTTAAAATTAATATTAAAATTGCATGACGTCATGTCAACAGTTTTCCAAAACACACAATAGAAGATTTTGTTTAAAAACTTCTTGTTCTAATAGTTGAATAGATGCTTAGTTTCTATCCCTTAATTTTTCATTTTCTATTCGATAACACTCTTCGAATTCTTATATTTTTTTGCCCATAATGAATTACTCACGTATTATGAATAAAATTATACACAACACTTAGTTTTTTCTATACTCTTATCTTGATTGGTTAATTGTTCTTATCTCGGCAAGAATGACTTTATTAAATCAAAAAATAAAATAACAAACTAAAAAACAAAATGATAGAAATAAAAATAACAGTAAAATTGAAATGAATAACGGTTAAGATACTTTACTTTCTCTTCTCATTATATTATTACTCTTCAGTTTGTTTTTCACTTGAAAAAGAAGTGAAAACAATTATTGTAGTTATTGTAGATGTCGCTAATTTGTTATTCCCTATGTATGTGTACATACACATTAGAATAATATGAGTTGAGTTTTTATTAAGGAGATCCATAAAGGATGCTTTAGCATAGAATTTAGTGTTTTATTTAGTGTTATCATTATTATGAACGAGAATAATGTATATAATTGAGAAGTAACAAAAAATAGAAAAATATAGAATATGGTCTGAGAGTGTATTGTTCGTTGACAGTTTGTTTACATGAAAATTTTTTTAATGCATGAATTGAGATTTTTTTTATATTATCTTTTTTTGTTTTTAAATAACTCAAAACAAAAAAAAAAGTGTAATTTCAATTTAAAAACTTTTTTAAAAGATTATATGAGTAAACAATAATAATTGAGTCCTTTTAGGGTGATCCATATACATAATATGTAAGTCGTATTCTGTATAGTGATTAAGAAGTTGTTACTATAAAATATGACAAAATGAGAAAATTTTAAAATGTGATTGTTCACGCTTTGTAAAGGTTTGTAAAGGTTAGGTTGACACGGCTAACGTAAGGTACACATAGGTGAGAATTGTCCGTTTTGATTCCATCGAGTCAACAAAAGTTTATAGAAGTTTAAAAGATATTTAATCCTGACATTCATAAAGTTTAAAATTTTATTTTGAGGCCTAACCGCATTCTTAAATTTTGAGTAAATTCAATTTATTTTACGTCGAAGAAATTACGAATATTTTTTTATGGAGCGATTTATCGGAGATTGTATAAATTTTTGAACATATTTACGGACAAACGTACTACTTTCTTCTTTATTACCGTAGCCATCAATGATTTTTACCAAATATCGCAGCGTCCACCCAGATCGTTATTTAAATATTCTGCTTTCCTTCCAAAAAAAAATTATTAAAAAATTAAACCGAGGATGACACATTTCTGTTTGAAAGAAGGCTATAATTATTTTAAATGAAGGCTAAAATTTTTACTCTAAAATAATTTGGGTTTCTTTGATTTGTTTATTCTGGGTTTGTCTCAAAAAAATTTTCCTTCACCATACCTTCCTTCTTTATAATACGAGTATTGTGGTAATCCAAAATTAATGATTGCCCATAAATGGAATGTTAATAATTATAACGGTATACAAAACAAAAAACACCGTTAAGAGAAGTTTTGTGAATCGTAAATGTATACCTATACATATATGTACAAAATTTCCCTTTTCATGTTTCTTATTGTATGTATTCTGTAAAATGTATAAAAAATAAAAAAAAAAAAGTGCAAGAATTTGTAATTCACGTAATCAAAAGCTTTTCACGGTTTTTTTTTTTTAGTGGGTTTTCATTTTATATGATTTGCTCTTTTGCATTTTATTACTTGTTTTTTTTTTTTTTTTGAGTTTTGTTTTTGTGTCGAAAAGTGCAACACGACCTTTTTTCCATGTATTCATATAGGTACATACTCGTACGTATCTACACACAAAGTGCACTTGTAAAATACAACAAAAAAGTGAAAAATAAAAACGTCAAGTGAAGCAGGATTTTTTTTCTTTCTCTTTTCTGTCATTTTTTGTTTTTATGAACCTTACATATACAACCTGTAATCACGTACGTATTTTATATGTACATACTCGTATGTATGTATATTGTATGTCGGTAATGAAATTTTATATATTTGTACATATGCATGTATGTACAATTTAAAATATGAATAGATGTAACGTGTATAATAGTACGGTGTTGTAAGAGTATAAGTGAAGTACACGGAGATGTGACTATTAATATAGTTGCGCCTATAAGTATGCTAATATATTAATATTGCATATATGTATATTTAAGTGAGAATATTTGTCCCCTTTTTTATAGGTAAAGGTAAAATAAAACTCTATTTTGTATTTTTGTGTATCTTGGTATACAGGATGCGAGTTTTTTTTTTTGCATCTTTATAGTTAGTTACAAAGAATTTTGTTTTTTATTATTTTTGTTATTTTTTAAAGAAGTGGAAAATTTTTATATATATATAACAAGTAAATAAGAAAAAAATGAAAAAAAAAAAATAGAAAAAGCAAAACAAAAAATGGGAAAAAACTGAGTGGAAAAATGAAAAACTTTTATTGTGTACGTTCAGTGAAATGAAACAAATGTAAAGATTAAAGGCAATTAAAAGAGAATCCGTGCTCTGTTTTAATATTTCATTTCATTTTTTTTTTTTAATTTCACCATTTTTAAATAGAAATTATTTTTTATAATTTCTCGACAGCGTAGCAAAAAAAATTACCAGCATGCATAACCAGCAAACATGCAAAAGAGCGAAAAAATAACGCGTTCCGTTTTTTTTCAGGTTTAGAAAAACGCAAAAAAAAAATAGAAAACCTCTGTTTTTTTTTTACCTGTTCTATGCCAGTCGCGATTTTCATTTGTATTATTTTTTTTATACTTATGTATATACGTATATAGCACAGTTGTTTATACAAAAATAAAAATTAATTTAAGCAATTATTTTCTTCCTTTACTCCTTTAATTTTTTAATTCCTTTTTAAATTAGTATGTTTTTTTTTATAATTGTTTTAAATTTTGTTTTTCGAATAAGTTTGTATGAAGAGGAGTTAATTTTAAAGTATTTTTTTTGTATAATTTAAAGAATCGCATTTAATAACTTTGAGTTGTTTGTTTTGTCGTAAGAGAATTATAATGTATTTAATATTTAATTATGTATGAAATAAATTGAGGATTAAGTTTTGGGCCTTGATGAAGGAAGGCGATGATTTTTAAATCAATAAATAAAGATTAGTATAAAAGTGAGTGTGTATCACATAGTGTTATAAGGTTGACTTTTGATTGACCCAAAAAATTTTCCGTATCATGTACTTCAAAAATATTTTAAAAGTAGAGGAATTTAAGCCAGTATTCAGTCAATTATTTTGAGTAATCATTTAGTGATTTTATTCGAGAATGGGTCGATATTAGTCTAGTTTTAAAATTTGAGATTCAGGATGGTGTTAAAACTCCCGGACGCTATTTCTTGGAGGAAACAAATTGTTGATTTGAAAAATTTTTACTCGTTTGTCTATAAGTCTAAGGGTATTTTTGGAGGGTTAACAAAAATCAAATTCAAATAAATTTTATTTAAAAAATAATAGCAACTGCTTCGAATTTGATGAAGTTGCGACAACGTGTTTGTTGCAACTTTTTTCCCAAATTAATAAACCTAGACAACGGTAATATATTTGGTTGATTGAAGACTTACCGTTCTCGAATAATTGGTGCTTAAACTTGCTTATGTTGAAATTTTTTATGAATTTTAGAATTAATTTCAAATTGAATTGAATTTGATTTATTTTCATGAAATAAGATTTTGAATAAAACCAAATATTATACGAATTGAGTCTTGTTTCAGCCTGATTTGCAGTTTTCAGTCTTTCACTGAAATCTACTCAATTAAAATAACTTTACTTTAACAGAAATCTTGTTTACTGTATTCATAATCCATCCATAACCATAACAAATTTTGTTATTACCAATTATTTTTCAGTATTAATAAATTTTTTAATCTTGAGCCTACAAAACAAAGAATAATACGTGTCATGTACAATCACTTACTTATAAAACTGATATTAATTAATTTTATTATAATATTTCGTGCTTAATTAATTCTTGTATCTAATTTCAAAAATAAAAATATTAAATTTATTTTTTGTTATTAAAGGTACTTCATTGCCATGGAATGGATTAAAAATGGCTACACATTTACCACCAGTTTGTCCACAAAATTTACCAAATCCTACATTGGCTAATGTTAAATTAGAAAAAGGACGAAGTGATCAATTACAACGATTGTTTCCATATTTAAAAAATGAGAATGAAGACTGTTTATATTTGAATGTTTATGTACCACAAGAAGGTAAAAAATTAAAATTATGTTTTTTTTCATTTGCAATTTCCTTTAAATATTATGTATTAATTCTTTGAGGTCTTAACTAGTTAAAATATAGATTTATAATAATTTCACTAATATTGACTGTAACTTCATTTTGATAAATTCTAAACTGAGTTTCAATTAAATACAATATTAAAAATAATATTAAAATTTCTATTTGCACGGAGAAAAATTTAAAATTGAATAAACAATTCAATTTTCACATTTTTTCAAAATTCTTTTAATTTTTTTAAAGTTCGACTATGCATAGTTTTATTGTAATTTTCATGAAAATATTTACTTTTGTTTATGATGTAAATAAAATTTTCAACTTAAATCAATTTGTTGCAACAATTGTTAAATTTCATATAAAATTCATATACAGAATGAAAGTACATGAAATTCATGTCATTTTCCAAAAAAAACAAAAAAAAAAACAAGAAGAAAAAATAAAGCACCTATTAAATTTAGACCACTCTGTACATAAATTAAAGTGTGTGTATGTGTAACTTATATCCTTTTTCTGATGATATATGTGATAAGAGAGGAGATATTCAAATAATTGTCTCTCTATACTTTTGTTTGCCATGAACTTTTAAAATTTTCTCGTTTTTTTTTTTGTTTCGTTACCATAAAATTTTATTTTTCATTTCTACCATACCACAAAAGTTTTAAACAATCCAAATTTATGCCCAAAAATATAAATTTTTCCGAATTTTGTATTTTTGTGTTTTTTTTTTTTTGATAATTTATTCAAAAAGTATAAATATTTTTCATTCACAATAGTATGGAAAAATGGGAGTAATAATAAAAACGACACAAAAAATTAAAATTTCTTTCATCTTTTTTTTTCTGTGTATATTTTGTTTTTTTTTTTTTTTTTTGGTAGAAACGGATGTACTACGTAGTTATAAGTTTGTTTTGTCTATACATTTTTATATAATACATATAAATGACATTGTATAAGAGAGAAAAATCTATTTATTTCGAATTTTATGATTTTAAAAAGAATAATAAAAGAACAAAAGTATGTTTATGTGTATGTATGTGGAATATATTTATCTATATATATATTTTTATATCTTCCTGATCCACTTCTTATTTTCCTGTCATACTTTTTCAATTTCATATTGGGCTACTGGACAACTAACCACACTATTGTGCACAACAATTGAAATAAAAATAATAATATTGCACTACACATATATATATAATATAATTATATATATATATATATATATATATATATGCATATATATGGATGAATGGGAAAAATAATAAATAACATTAACAATAAAAAAACCAATAATATAACGATGTAACGGTATAAATGACAACAGATAGATTTGATAAAGTAGAAAAATATCCTGTCATTGTCTACATTCATGGTGAATCTTATGAATGGAATAGTGGAAATCCATATGATGGTTCAGTTCTTGCCAGTTATGGTCAAGTAATTGTTGTAACAATCAATTACCGATTGGGAATTTTAGGTATGTATATTATATACTTATATTATATACTTATATTTATATATGTGTATATATGGAAATTTATTTGATTTCTATTTTTAAAATATTTTCGTAATACAGGATGTACAGTTAAAAGCATTTTTTAAATTATATAAAAGCGGAATTCCAAGGTTTTAAATTTTTTTTATATTAAAATGTTAAACTTAAATTTTGATGCAGAATTAATTTTAGTCATGGCAATGTGTACATAGATATGTAAATATGTATTCGGGAAACCTCTATAAAATTTCAAATACTATACATATATGAAACAACTAATTAAATGACATTGTTGACAGAAAATTTTTTATGTTTTCAATTATTTGACCTTAATTTTAATTTAAGTTTTTCAATTATTATGGTAAATTTTTATATTTTCATTCCTATAAATTCTACTCTATAAAAGAACAGGGGGGTGACACGAAAATGTATATCCATAAGTAAATTCTGTAGATCATAGTACATTTAATCTGTCTTTTAGAAGCTCATTTTTAAAATATATTTCGTTTATCTTCATTTGTTGTGATCCAGCGGCTAATTTAATGTTATGGAATAAATTTTCTAAAGTATGCCATTATAATAATATCAGCTTTTATATGTCGGTCGTAGAATTTAGTTGCCTAGCGATTAATGCATCATAGATTAAACAAGATTAAATTATTTATGATACACTTTATGTGATATAAAGTTCTACTCGTAAGTCCCACTAAAGACATTTTAATGAGACTACTAATGACCATACATCTCGAGAATTTTGTTTATGTGGCGTTATTCAAAGTATGCCAAAAAGTTTAGTGCCGCGCCTTGCATCTCTTGCATATAATAAAATGTCGGTAACGTTAACATTTTCACTGTCGGCCATTTTCATCTGAGGTCTATATTCAGAACGGTCCTTGATTGTAAGTCGTCTCTTAACGAGGTGACGGACTAGTTTAAGTTAAACTTGATTTGAGTCCAAGGCAACTGTAAGACGAACGAGCTTGCGAGGCATAGAACAACCCTTGGGGTTCCAGCTGGAAAGGAGAGCCTAGGCATATCTACCATCTAAGCTGCCACCAGGAAATCTTTATGCCTGGCACTGGTGAACTCCAATCAGATATTTTTTGGGTTTGATGTAGCGATTTCTTGGGTGGCGAATGTAAATTTTAGAGGTCTCACTTGGTTTTTAAAAAGCTGTACTCGTGGGAATTTATATACACTCTTATCCTATTTATACATATACTTATATATAGTAAAATATTGTGACAGAATATTGAACTACCTTCCTTTTTATATTTTTACGAATGTTTAATTTTAATGTAGTCATATTTTTCTTTGTTCAACAAATACCCTGTACTTGTTTAAATGTAAATTTTCATATTACTAAATTATACGACTAGTGAGAAGACAATTATACGAAAAAAAGCGCAATAAAACAAAAGCGTCAATATAGCTTTTTAATCATTTTGAAAATTCATTTGACGTCTCAGTGAATAAGAACAAGTGAGATTTTACTTAAATTGATTCGATTTTAAGTAACTTTTTCAGTTACAGTTATTACTCGTATTTATGGAATATTTCCATAATTTATTGCGAATCAATCAATCTTAATTAGAGAAAAATATGAGAGAGAAGGAAATTTTTGCTTTTCCACTATAACGCGAAATATTTTTCCACTTTTGAATTTATCCTCATAATATCTTCATATAGAATCTACATTTCCATGAATTGATCCTTTGGAAAGCTCTTACATTTTGTTGTGTTTAATTTTAATTATTGATTTTTTTTTTCTATTTAAAATTTAGTTAAAAATAAATAATAAGAGCAAATTATAAAAAAATTTCACATTATAAACATAAGTGCGGTTTTTAAAAGTTTCAGGTGTTTCATTAAAAACTCCTATATTCTTATTTATATATAATTGAAATTTCATTTAATTTTAGATAAAATCCACAATCTGAATTTGAATAAATTTTATTTTTAACATTATCCTTTTTTATCCTTTGTAAATAGATCTTCAAGAAATGTATGAATTTAGAAATATTATATTTTAGAATTGTTAAATAGTTTTCACCGCAATATTTTATATAACAACCACATATTTTCTGGGAAATTATTATTAATAAAAATAGTTTAATAGTAAATAGATAATATTAGAATGTAATAATAATAAAATCACGATATAAGAGAAGGAGAGGTTAATAAAAAGAAAATGTAGTTATACATATATGAGTTCCATTAACCAGTATCGCGGTTGAATTTAGAAATTTTTGTTTAAATTTTTGTTGAAATTGTTTATCGAACAATACTGAATAATAGTACTGAAATTAAATACTGAATATACTACTGCATATAAGTTTTAAAGTGACCTGACTAGTGCCTGAAACCGGAAAATGGTTGAATGAAAATCAATTGATTCTTTTCGGATAATTTCGGGCAAATTGATAATATTTTCCTATAACGCAATAAATCATATTTTTGAAAGATGTGCTCAATTATTCAGGATTGTTTTTTTAAAATTCGGAATATATTAATTAAAATTTTTTCAATATGTTAAAAATTATGGTTATTATGTAATTTTGCCATTAAAATCCTTTACAATTTTAATCCTCTAAAATATTTTAATAACTATACAAATCTCTATAATTGTTCACTCAATATAATAATTTATTAAATTCATTTTGAAAATGTACAAATGTTAGTGAAAATAGTAAAAAAAAAAATTTTCATTTTATTTATTTTCATAATATCTACCCAGCTAATAAACGGTTATCTAAAAGCAAAAATTTCCGCATTTTCCAATGAATTAGATTTTCACTCCCATGGCTGTTTTTTGCGTCATAAATATAAGCGTGTGTGTATATTTAATGATATTGTTTGTTGTTAGAATATTTTACTTACGGTGATAACTGATTTTTTTCTATATAATATGTAAGTACATATTATAAATATAGGGCACGTAGGTATATCCACTCATTCATCCATCAAATTAGACTATAAAATTTATTGACAAAAATATTGTATCGGGGTCTTTGAAAAAATTTGAATAATTTATGAAATTTATGTTATTTATACAATTACACATATAACATTTTATTTAGAAAACTTTAGATGAATATCAAATACAAAAAATACAACGGTACAATATTATTCCTGAGCAAACACATAGTTTATAAATTGTATACTATAAATATACATACATTATTGTAAATATAAAAAGGATTTTCTTTTAAAATTTATTTATTTTTTAGGATTTATGAAACCCGGTCTAAGTCAAACAACTGTCAGTAATTTTGGTTTATTCGATCAAATCGCTGCATTAAAATGGATCAAAGATAATATAGAATCGTTTGGAGGTGATCCAAATCGTGTTACATTAATGGGTCATAGTACAGGTGCATCATGTGTTAATTTACTTATGGTATCACCGGTTGCAAATGGTAAATTCCCAAAAAAAAAAAAAATTTAATATTTCATTTAATTTTATATCTGAATTTTATGAATTTATGAACTTGTTTTTATTGATTCACTCTAATAGTGAAAATATTTTAATATTTTAGTGATATTTTTTATATTTAACACATTTTTATGTATAGATACCTACATATATTTGTTAACAATGAAAATTATTCATATGGGGTACAAATAATTGTGGGTTAAATTTCAAATTTTTTCAATAATATGAGGGGTAAATAATTTGAAAATAATATGTTGAAATTGATATATGAATAGTGATATTCAAGAATATTAAATTATTATATAGATTAAAAATTTTATAATACAAATGGGAAAACCAAAATATTGCGTAAAAATCTAATCGGCAATTTAAATAATTAAAGTATATACACGTTATATATGGGACTATATCAACTGTTATACATTTATTTTGTAAATTTAAATATTCATATAGGGAATTGAAATATATGCAGTAAAAAAAAAAAAAACAAAATGTTATTCACAATATATGGGCATTTGAATTCGTGGATTTGAAAATTAATATTTGTAAATGAAATTTTTATAATTTAAATAAAGTTGATAATATTCATTTGACGGTCAAATAAAATTGGCTAAAAATTCAATTCTAATAACAATTAAAATTTTTCTAAATTAAATCTGTGGAATTGCCTTTAACTGCGGACATTATAAAATCTAAAAATTTAATGCGTTCCGTAAGGAATACTTTTGATGAAAACTCTTTTATAAAATTTATTTAAAAAGGCATTTAAATTATGGTCAAAATTTTGGATTTTTTTAAAACCTTCACACCAAAAATATCACATGACTTGATGGCAAGATTACGATTTTTTTTACTGTAGTTACGGGTGAGCCACTTGTATTCTAAATTAATCTGTTAAATTTTTAGTGTGTCTGTAAAATATCAGAGGTTACACAAATTTTAAATTTCTGATTTTATTTTATATAACTTTGATTTTGAATATTTATGTCGCAAATACTGAATATAACATACAATATAGTTTTGGATAAACAGACAGTAATATATATAAATATATTTTAGCATATACTTACATACAATGCAAAATATGTTTTCTGTATAATATTAATGCTGCTTAGAGAAAAACTCTCTATCAAAATTTCATCGGTTCTGTCAATCTAAAAAATAAATTCTTAGTTTTAATCGAATTATTCATTTCTATATAAATACAATATCTTTTAAAATACGTAATAAATACATATAACCTTTTATACATATTTTATAGTTATATAAATTATAATAAATAAATTGCATTTGTAGGTCTATTTCATCGTGCTATTTTAATGTCTGGTTCAGCAATGGCTGATTGGGCAACAACAAATCATTCAATTCATTTGACAATGCAAGTTGCAAATGGAGTCAATTGCTTAACAACAGATGATGATGAAAAGATGTTAAAATGCTTAAGGAGTAAAAGGTAACAAATTAAAATTAATCAATACAAAATTACTTATATACGAGTATAAAATAATTATGTATAATTAATATTGAAGTAAATGCATATGTGAGTATTATGTTTAGTATAATTGGATGAACAATTTAATAGTGTTATAATATTAAATTGAGATTTTCAGTATGAGTACGTATTAATTATAGTCTTTAAAATATATGCAATACTATACTGGGAAATACTCGGAATTTCAATTCATTTTTGTAAATTGATTTAAAAATTTTATAAATTAAAATGATTGACATTGAGTTGGAAAATATAAAATTTAATTATATTGCAACAATGAACTTACATAATAAGACTTAATAGAACTTACATTGGACATTATTTGGGGTCCAATAATTTATAATTTTAAACGCTATATTTGGTTTTTTAGGTAACTTTTTAGTTTTATTAAGTAACTTTTTTGACTTTTCATACAAAAATTCAACAAATAAAACGCTAGAATATTATTTAAAAATATTCTAGTTTTCACAAAATAAATTTAAGATTCTATTTTTTGGAAGCTTTCAATAATTTTCAATTAATTTTTAAACACTCAATACAATTATACTCCACACAATTAAACATAATCAACTTAATTATTCTTTTAAAGGATAGCAAAATAAATTATTATTTTATAAAATATTTCAAATATGTTTATTTGTTTTTTAGGTATAAGGATTTTCTTAAAGTTCAAACTGGATTATCACCATTTGTAACAGCGATTGGACCAATTGTTGATGAAATTATAATACCAGCACAACCGTATAAAATGATGAGCCAAATAACTGAAACATTTGGAAAGTAAGATGAGAAAAGAAAAATCTTTTAGTTTAAAATATCAAGCGCCTATAAAGATAGTTCTCCGTTGAATATTTAAAAGAAGATTGACTAGTTCTAGGTGACTAAAACTACTAGGAATGTATACTAGGAAATAAATAAGGTTTCTTTCTATACCGAGTTCAAAATAATACTTACTAATTATTTATGTAGATAGGGCATTTTCTTCATGATCCCTCGAAATAATATTATGGGATTTTGTAAAACTCTTTCCAATTTCAAATTAATGAACAGTTTTTTATTTGATTCCTATAATTGTACGGGATTAAAATATATAATTGGTATACATAGATACTGGATAAACTTTTAAATGCTTAATTTATTTAAATAAAAAAAAAAAACTTTTCCAATATGGATGGATTGATTCATTAATTTGTTTCAAAAACTTTTATATTCATTTTGTTTTCAAGGTTCTTATGTTAAAACGTGATTGTTGATTTTCTATTTGTATAAAATTTTACATTGAAATATTATTTGCCTCTTCATTACTTAAATCAAACATGTACATATACAGATATACATTACATAAATATATATTTAAGCATGTGTATAACAGTTTTATAGTAATTTATAAAATGTTACGTTCATTAATTTATTATTTGGGATTTACTTGTATAAGAAAATAATATTATATAAAATTTTTTTGGTTTTGGCCTCTACAATTATTTATGATAATTTTATCTAATTTATATTCGACTGAATACTGAATTTAAACTCATTGATTTTCAAATGATTACATGATTATAGTTGAAAAATGATTTAAATGATTTATAGTTGGAATTATATTTTAAATGTGAGATTTTGTTTCAAATATTTGCAAGTCCTTGCGTTAAAATTTCAACTTTATTATTCGTTTCGCAATAGACCATTGATGGCCATAACAATTTCTAATTGATTTTAATTTTACTATTGTTCTTTTAATTTAGAGATAATGTGGATAGTATTACACAATTAAAATTTCTTTTTTTCATTATATATATATAAGAATTTCAATAATTAAATTCAATGTAACATATACAAAATATGCAATATTGACCTAATTTTATTCTTAAACCCTATATATACATTTAATGAAACCTTTTTATTAAATAAATATAATAAATATACAATAAAATAACGAAATAAATTAAAAGAAATGAAAAAATAGAAGAGTAAACTAGGAAATATTAAAAAAAGAAACGTGCCCCTTTTTATTCCAACACAACTATTCAATTTCAACAAAAAAAAAAAAATTGCATACACGGATTTGGCCTCTTTTTGTTTTTTTTTACAATACTAAAAGAAATGAAATGAAAAATCCAAAAAAAAAAGGAAAATTAAAGCAAACATTCATTTTTTCAGTCGTAGAGTACCCTGGAGGTTACATACAAAGCAAAGTAAAACAAAAAATTTCATTTTATTTATCAATAAATTTTCACTCAACTTAAAATTTTAATATAGGCCGATTTTTAGCTTCTAGCTATAATAGCCGTGTAATAAGAATATAGTAGTAATTTTTTTTTTCAAAAAAAAAGTGCTAGAAAAAAGAAAATCAACAAACATCTGTCCTTATTACTTCAGGCTACTTAACTAAAAGTTTTCTATTTTTAAAAGTAATTTAGGGTTTTTAAAGTATTAAAACACTTTGATTGTACTTTCATTGTATTGGAAAAAAGAATATCTTCATTACTTTTCAGTATACTAAAAGTAGTTTGATTTTCCTCTTAAAAGTTTAAGAAATTTTAAAAATCTCAAATATTTTCTACAGATATTTGCCATATTACCGTATAGTTATGTTGTTTTTTAAAAATGTCCTTTTCGGCACAGTGGAAATTATAGTGTTATAATTTAAATTTTCAATAATCCTGAGCGTATTTTAGTCGAATAAATCTCTTTCATGCTGTAATCACAAATTTTAATTAAATTGTTCTGAAACAGCATTCAATATGGCAAAGAGATCAACCCAAAAAAATATTATAAAGTTGGTACTATCGCAATTTACGGATTTTTAATACTATTTTTAATAATTTTGTGAAGTAATTAGTAAATTTCTTTAAATTTTTGAGAAATCTCAAAGAATTTTTTTTTATAATATTAAAATAAATTTATGAAGCTCTGCGAATATTTGCCTAGAGATATGCAATTACAATATTTATATTGTTTTTTTTCTTAATTTTTATGTTTTTCATAATTTATTTTCTGAAATAAAACTATCCTTCTTTTTAAAATAACTCAGCGTTCATCTTCTAAAATAAATTAAGAACGAAAACAAAAAAAAAAAACGTATGATACGAACTGGATGTTAAGAAGACTTTCAAGTATTTTGAAAAAGAAGAAACAGAAAAAAAAAAAACAAATTTTTTTTTTTTTGAATTCTGTCCGTCTTCTCACCATTTTTTATTTAATATTTTATAGGATAGGAATTTCAAGAATATCTTGAAGCATTTTTGCATTTCATTTCACTATATTGTTACGTTTTTTTTTATAATATTTTCATGTTGCTTTTCTTTTTCATATCCTTTTGTTTTTTTTTTTCTTTTGCTTATAATATATAAGATGGACATTGAGCCTTTGCAGGCTGACGTCTTCATTGTAATGTTGGTTTTTCTTTATTTCTGTTATATAAGGTTTTTTTTTGTATTATCCTCGGAAAACAAAAGCGAAATTAAATAGTTTTTTTTTCTTGTTGTTACTTCATAATTTCTTTTTTGTTGTTTTTTTATTTTGGGGAAGGATCCTTGATTTTTAACAAAAGGAATCTCTTCTCCAAGTAAGATTTCATTTAATATTATTGTTATTATTATACATAATTATTATTATCATTTTTAATTAAAAAAGAAAAAAAAACTCTCTTTTCAACTCTAGTTCCCTTTTCTTTTGAAAGATAAGCGCGCAACTATAGTAATTTATTTTTTTCTGTGTATACGAGTAGAAATATAAAGAAAAGTTTTTTTTTTTTGAAAATTCAAGGTTATAATTCACGTATCCCAAATTGTTCCTTTTTTTTGGTTTTTTTTTCGCTTTTATCATTATAATTTCTTGTTTTGAACATTTAATTTTGCTTCATTATTACAATGGGATGTGCATAAGCTATACAGCAGTACATATTTTTATTTAGTAGCATAAGGTTAATGTTATTAGATATGTATGTATAAAAGTATGTATAGATATTGTTAATATGTATTATACCGGGAATATTATTAAACTTTTGAGATGAGATACTATTGTACATAGGTCTAGAATATATATACGAAAAATTTATATAATATAGCTAAGATCTTTTGTGCAACAATTGCTGAGCAATTTTACTACAATTCATAGCAAACAAAAGCATTATAAGGAGAAGGTCAAAATAAAGGCGCATAAATAATGAAAGTAATAGAAAAAATGGCTACTTTTTTTTTTGCGTACTTTGGATACAATATTTTTGTATTATTATTTTTTTTGTTTTGGGGATATTTGACATTTTATTGATAAACAAGGGTTGACTGATGATGATTTAGATTATTATGAAGGATACACAAATATGTGGTGTAATTGTATATATATATATATGAATTGTATTAAAGAATTCAAAGTGTATAGTGTACAGAGTAAATAGCATAGAGTAAATTAAAATTCATCACATGTTATATAGAATTTTTGGTACTCTCAACAATTTTTGTCTTTATATTTTTTTTCTCTTCATTTTTATATAATATGTTTGTACTCGTAGTATTGATAATAAAATAAAAATTTACAAAAGGTATAGTAAATTTGACCTTATGATTGTGACATTAAAACATAAAAAATCCTGAAAATATTGGCATATTATTAATGAATAAATTTGAAATCGATTCCCTATTTTGAAGTTCAAGAATTCATTTCTATGAGATTAATAAATTATAATAAAAAGTGGAAACATACCCTTTTGTAAATTGTAAATGAATTATTTAAAAAAAAATTAATTTAAATGTTGCATTTTATTTAAAGAAGTATAACAATCGGAATTACTCTCGAGTAAATGGGACACTGATTTCTATTGAAATTGTGTTATATATTATAGGAATAAAAAATAAATGAGTTTATATGTTAGCGAAATGAATTTGTAACTGCTGTTCTCAATTGATTTTCGAATCATTGTAGAATTATTCATGTTTAGATCGTTATATGCCCTCAGATAGAGCTTAATAAATCAAAAATTGAATTTTGAAATTGCATGCTATCTGAAATTTATTAGTACAGACCTTAATATCTAGAAACTGAGATGATCTAACTTTGTTTTTCATAGATTAAACGTACAGAAATATAAATTGGTGCAATAAGTTTTTGTAGAGTGCAACAGAAGCATCAATAAAACAAGTATATGTTGTGAACTCACATTTTGCTTGAATAATTATATTTTTCCAACTAGACTTCGTTGAGTCTCCATATTAAATTTTTTTCAAACACAGGTGATGGTTGATTTTAAAGGTGACCTGAGTCCATTTTTAATATAAGTCCATTTTTTGCGCTTAGCTTTAAAGCTATTAAAAACTCAGAGTAATTAGCCGTGTATTTTATAATATATTTAGTTTTTCTTTCCAATTACGTTAGCTTCAATTCAAACTATTAATATTTCATTACTAGCGGAATAAAGGAGCTTTCAAATTGCAAATGAATATTTAAGTAGGAGTATCCTTGAGTAAAGTCGTGAAACTATAATCTATTTTCTTTTTTATTTTTGTATTTGTTGTCTTCTAAATTGTTGAAATGTCGTCATTCAATACAATGTTTGAGAATTGTTATTTCTAGGATTATATTATGTACACATCATCAAATATCCTACATATATGCAATATATTGGGAGTGAACTCCTTTTTTTTTTGTTTTTTTGTATCATGACATTTTGAAATTAGATACCTATAGGAGATATCGGTCAGACTTTCTGTAAATAAACAAGTACCAAACTGTACAAGCCAAAAAGTAAAAATAAAACTAGGGAGAAAAAAACAAAAAATGAAGGAATGAAAGTTTATCCAATTTTAGATTGCTTGTTAAATGTCAACCTTTTTTTTTTGTGTTGATTTTTTTAGATGCTTTCAGAGAGACTAGAATTTTGTTTTTTATATAGACAGGCCCTGAAAATATATACAGAAGGATAGAAAGAAAAAAAAATGTGTAAAGCTTTCAACGCTTGTATTTTGGGGCGATGGAAAAATAACACTCTAAAATTTTTGTGATACACAAAAATAAAAGAAAAATGGTTGCTTTTCTGTTATAAATTGGTTTTTGTCTTTTTGTTTTTTAATTCAGATTCAACCATTAAAAATTAAAACAGTGACAAGAAGTTTTTTTCTCTTCGATAATTTTTTTTTTCATATATGAGTGTGGAAGAGTATTCATTACATGTGTTTTGTGTACAACAGTACAAAAACCCCTTTATACTATTTAGTTTGTATAATCCCTCTTATAAACTGAAGTGCTATTTGAAGGGAATCTAATACCAAAATGGAGGTATTGTGTTGTATGATGCTTTGATGTTTTTGTCTGCATGTGAAATACTATATAGCAGGATGTAGTGAAATACAGCTGTTTTTATTGCAAGTATGTAAAGAGTATAGCTTTAAAGGTTATTGTATATTTTACCGAAAAAGAATTCATTAATTAGGAGTAAAAATATTAAACACTTAAAATATATTATTTATATAATTTCAAGCTAGCTAGTATTTTTGGTTAAATTTCAAAATAATAAAAAAATTTGAAAAAACTAAGAAATTAACTATTTTTTAACTCCGAATTTTCTAACCCTAGTACCGAAACATTTTATTCAATTAAAATAAAAAAAAAATTAATTGTTAAATTATTTTCGAATCAATACAAAAATTATTGATTGTATTTTAACTTGCAGGTATGATTTGCTATTTGGTGTTACTGAATTGGAATCATACAACGTTCTAGATTCAATGGGTAATATTTTTATTATAAATTATTTTGCAAATAATTAATTAATTTTATATTTTTTTAAACAATTTTATTTATTTGCAGCTTTAGAAGAAGGACTCACCGAAAATGAACGCGATCAATTTTTACGATTTTATATGAATAGCCGTTATGACATACGACCTGATTTAGCGGTAGCTGCAACATTAAAACAGTTGAGTAAATTGCAATAGTATATAAATTTCTTGCAATAGGAAACTGGTATTCTTTCCACTTGTTTTTTGACCATCCTATCCGAATTGACCTATATTTAAAATTATTAAGCTAACTTTCATTGGCATTTTAACTAGAACGTCGAATATGACAATATAATCCCTGTAGGTTGTGAACATGTTCTTAATATAGCCATCTAATGAAATTCAGTCACGGGTTTTCTAAAGCAGTCACTTAATATTATACCTATATATTTTTAAAATAATTGACCAATATAAATAATATTTTAAAAGATTTATTCTGCACATAAATCGATATTCCTAGTAAATCGTAATTCTTCATATTATTTTAAATACAATGTTGTTAAGTAAAATAAATCGCTTGTCAATATTCAATTATTGGGGCTTCTTTGTATTTGCCTATGCTTAAGGTGTTTTTGTTTTATTTTTAAAATTCAATTAATATTTTTACTTTTATTATTCAAATTAGAAAACTGTAAGTAAATTTCAATATTATTTTTTCTGTCATAATAATGAAAAATAAATTCAAATATGCAATTATTGGAATAAGTAAGTGAGAAAAACCAATTGGTATAAGTAATAATAATCATTTATAATCTAATTATAAAATTTTATAGGAAACTCTTTCTTTTCATTCATTATTATTCAATTTGTAATACGATAGCACTAGTTGATATTTAGGTCATTCGTTATGGTAAATAATTTTTTGTTTCCTTCTATATACTTTATCATATTTTTTTATTATTTATTATCATAATTTGGATCAATATTTAAAGTATAAGTTGTAGCGGATTTAGAGAATTAAAATTGTAAAATATTTTTTTTTTTTAAAAATATAATTAAAGTGTTAGAAAGTTGCAATTTCTAGGTAGATACAGGAACCTGTTTACATTAAAATTTAAAATAATTTAATGAAGTTTGTAGTTGTTAGTAAGTTTGTAATTATTAGAATTAGAAAAAGGCCGTTCAAATTTTCTTTACGAAGGATGAGAACGTTGTACAAAAAAACATCTTTTCCCGCACTTACTAGAAGCTTACTTTGAAAAATTGTGTCCCACCAATAGTCTTAGTTCTAACAATTAATTTTTAATTATTTTTATAAAAAATTTTTTAAAATATTTATTTAATTTCTCTCTATTGAATCTTTCTGGTTTTCCGTAACATGACAGAGTAGGTTTTCTATTTTTATAATAGAACCTACATAGAACCTATATAGAATAAAATATAAAACGTGTTTAAAATAACTGTTATTTTAGTATAATTATCGTTTTATTCCTTATTTATTTACCAGAGAATTCTTTGTGACTCAAACTAAAGAACGTAGATTTAAAGATAAAAAAACTAATTTTAATTTAATAAAAAATCTAAATATAGAAAGAAAGAGACCTACAGGAGAAAATCCTTTTATATTTCATTAAAAAAGAAGAAAAGCAAAGATGATAAAGCACGTTCTTTTCTTTTTCTCTCTCTTCCCCCTAAATCCGATATTTATTTTTTTTGTTTTATAATATGCTGTTGAAAATAATTCACCACGAAGAATTAAGCCAGAAAACAAAAATTTTTTGGTATGCATATTATGTCTATTGGTTTACATTACATAATGTACTCTAATATCCCTATATAATATTTTATTTAATATCAACATTTGATCAACATGTGGTACCCCTTTTTACCGTACATACAAAAACACATGTATACAAAATATCATTTATAGTTGTCTCTTTACTATTACAAATATAACTTTTATATAAAATATAACAATAGCAAATTTCGATAATAATAACTATAATATAACAATAATAGTAGTAATAATAATAAAAAAATTATTTTTATTTTTCCAAAAAAAAAAAACAGGTATATGGATGTTTACAATAATCCTTCAAAAGCAACGAAACATGAACATCGTGATGTGGTTTTAGATATACTTTCAGATGCTAGAATTGTTGGTCCATTATTACAAACCGGTCTATTTCATGCTGATGTTAATCCTAGAAATTATATGTACGTTTTTGGACATAATAGTGAAGCTGGAGCATATTCAAATGTAAGTATTTTGTGAAAAGTTTTCTAAAATAACAAAAATATATTTTGTTTAGTTTACTTTCTATATTCCTTATACATACATATATTTGTATATGTGTTATATATAGATAAATTAATTTGTATATATATACATAGATGAGTATTATATAAAATGATAGGAATAGAAGAGATACGATTTTTTAGTAATAACAATAATAGCATAACGATGAAAATATAAAAAATTTTTAAATGAAAATGTACACATATTTTGAAAGTACCCCCTATAATAAAATTTCAATTTTACAGAATGTGTGCATTTGTTTGCATATAGGTAAAAGTTTTCGAATTAATATATACAATTAGATAGCCCAGTCGGATTTTTGTTATAAATTTTTGACTCACAGAAAATTTTATTTGAAATATTTGCAATCATAAAGAAAATGGAAAATTGTATATTATCAAAAACGCTTATACATAAAACATAGTTTAAATTACTCGAACGTATACACCCAAGGAAATAACACTAAAATCAAATCAACCAGAACCGACCTTAAGTTATACGAATTTTCCCTGAGAATCAATTTTCTAATACAAATTGATGAATAAATTTTATCCTACAACACCATAACGTTCTAACAATAATAGCCTATCTTCATAAGGTGGCAACCTGAGAGGATCAGACCAACCTCAATAGAAACAGTAGGACGATCGAATCTGACACGTATGCTCCTATTATTTAGTTGGTTAAGGGATAATGAATCCGGTACTTATAACACTCCAATTCAGCCAGAACGCGAACGGAGTTGCAAATTTTTATAATTTTCGAACATATTTTGCATATAGGTAACTACATATGTTGTTAAAAATTTCAATTTAAGTCTTATTGGGAAATTCAAAGGGCTATACACTGCAGAAAGAATGTATTCGCATTCAGTTGTTGTACATATAGATATATATGTACGTATATATCAAACAAATATTGTGTAATATGCATTAAGTTTTCAACATATTGTTGCAATATTGTATAACTTTAAAATATCTATAAATTTAGTGTACATCTAGGTCTACCTTATATCTACATAATACAGGAGTAGGTATTGGTACACAGAATTAATAATGAAGAACAATGAGAAACAAGTTTTGGTATTAGCATTTTGTTAGCCTATAAATATGCAAGTATACATAGGCTTAAGTAAACCATGTGATATTAATTCTTTTCAATTATTTTATTATTATTTTATTACTACTACTCGTAATCTAAGAGTGGCAAGTGCATGTATGTAGATTGTATAAGGATTAGACTATATGCAAGAGAATAGTTATGGCATAAATACTTAGGTCTTTTTTTTTAATTAATTTTTTTTTTTTAGACTTTAGGACTTAGGTTATTACATTGTTCAATATATTATAGTGTTTAGTAGGAATTTAATGATTCTCGTTGTATTGTCTAAATGCGTCTACATATTTTAGATTTTTTAATTTAATTAGCTTTTTATTTCATCACTATTCTATATAACAAAATGAATTAAAGTTTGTTTATTAAAAAGATTGAAACTTATTTATAGAAAAGCATATTTATATGATCTAGGATAACTTCATCTGGAAATTCAAGATTCTTTTGTTCTCATGAGTTTTAGAAAAAATGTTCAAATATTTTAAGAATATTAAATTTAGTGTTATTAAAAAAATTTAAAGCTATTTATGCTTTATGTATTTTTTGTTTTGTTGCCGCGATGCTTAATAGACCCTAAACGAACAGATGCATTCAACGAATTTTAACTGTCGGACAAAAAAAAAACGCATGAAACTTTTTTGTCGCGTGAATAAAAAAACAAAACTATTTTATTGAATGTTTTTTATGATGTCCTTTAATTTAAATAGCAGTTTTTATGTCTGGCTATTGACTTTCATTCCTGCCAAATTCCTGCATTCAATTTAAGAGGGAAAAAGATTAATCACGTAAATTAAACATTTAAAAATTTTTTAAATTGTAGTTTAAAGTTTATATTTTTAAAGGCTAAATTTTGAGTTTCATATAAGATGTCTGAAATTTTATTCGAATGCATTTAAAGTCGGACTCATTTAACTTTTTATAGAGCATAATTACATGAACTTTTAGAAATTTAAAATAGAAAATATCATGTAAAATATTGAAATTAAAAAAGATTCATTAAAATGCTTTACCTTAGGAAGAGTATGTCAGAAAAATTTTTAGTTTGTACATATTTTTTTGCGTAACCCACATTAAGTGTATAATATTCACTTTTGAGTCGGTGTCGAATCAGTTCCAGGAGTTACCCAGCTAGTTCACTGGATAGTATTTATTCTGCAGCCCAAAATCGTTTTTTCGGAATGTGGACTACGATTGAATCCAGAGAAAAATCCATTGCAAACTGCAAAATTATAGCTGCTAAAAATAAATTGAATTTCTTCCTTTGTTAATTTGCCGCTTTAATTTGTTTATAAATTTTATAAACTTTTATAATATCATAATATAAATATAAATGTATGTACAATATAATATATACTATGAATTATCCACCATATTTCATTGTTGTATAACAATATTAATTGTAATTTTGAATTTTTCATTATAATGACAATAATTTAAGTTATAAAATGAAATTATTATGTTTATTAAAATATTTAAATTATTATTTATGAGAATACAATGTTATTAAACTTAATATAACAGTTATACATACTTATTGTATATGCATATTGTATTAACATATACTGTAGAGTGTACACTATCATACACATATGTTATACAATATTTCGTATAACATAATTATTTATTTAATGAATATTCAGAGTTCAAATATAAAGTTCAAAACTTTAATCAGTGAAAAGGTGTTCAACCTGAGAAAAACTTATGAAAATTTTTAATTAATTTTAATTTTATATAAATATTATATTATTTTCTTCATTTTAATATATACCGATGTACCATATTATGTAAAATTATGTTATATTGTATAGATGTATAGCATACATATTTCATTTAATTTCAAATATTTTATTAGATGAAAATTTTATTATTTCATAATATGTTGAGAGCACCTAAAATTTTCACCTTCTGAATTCTGAATTAACAAATTGTTACAATTTGTAATAAATCAGAAGAAAGAAGAATATACATGTGTATGTAGTTTTTCTGAATCTCGCAAATAACAAGTGACAGATAGACATTGAAACACTTTTCTAACGTTTGCATTTTGTTATTAGAGTCAATGATTTTAGCAAATGCATATTTGAAATGCCATTGATTTGCAAAAAATATGTAGTTTAATGCTGTGTTTAATTTAAATTAGAAAGGATGTCATTTTTATTCGGTTTTGCATTCTGTGCCCTTAGTGAAGGATATTATTTTAACTTTGATCACTTCAAAATCCGACATTTCTTTAAAAATATCCGCCTGTTCGTCCGATTGCATGAAAAATGATAGCATAAACACCATTAAACTTTTATGAACTATTTCTTTTCTACAAATGACGACTGGTTTTGTATTAGTTCATTAATTAGTTAGAGAGGGGAGGTAGCGCATTAATCGCTGTCACTCAACACTAATACTCATATCGCCATCCCTCCATAAATAGCCCGCCTTCTATCTACGTAAATAATGAAGGGGTCAGCTGATATATTGCCCACCAACGCCAATTCGGCGATTGTTGCCATCGCAAGCGTTTCGGCTCAAAATACACTACTGTAGTTCGGCAGTCTAACAGATATCTCAAATCGCATTTCCTCATAGAATAATGCTGCTCGAAATGCATTGTATGTCTTAGAACCAATTTTGTAGATAAAGAAGTCTCCGGTACCAAATAATCAGAAGACCGCAGATTCTCCCATAGCCAATTCGTATTCCTCCAAAGTTTAACCGTGAGTGTAGCTTCTGGTCTTCAGAAAGCCCGCCATATGAAAAGATTATTTGAAGTCACATTCGTCCTATTTGTTCGTTCTTTGTGTACCATTCCAAAAAGCTAGTTGGGATAGCTGTAAAATAAGTTGAAGTGTTAATTTTAAATATTTTAATGTCAGATTGTCCATATGTATTGGGTGTAATTAAATCGGCTAAGATAAACTAAAAATGTTTTGCTTGTTTAAAAATCAGGTTTTTATTTAATTAGTTTTTGTGTGATTTTAAATTTTTTACCGCAAAACTTCGAAAATTTTCTGCTTAAAAATTTTATTAAAGTTAATCAATAAGTTTTCCACCATATTTTCGGGATTGTAATGTTTAAAGCATCCATTCCCAAAACAACCTTTAATTTACGTACGTACATAATATTAAAATTTTAATATCTTTTCACTAAGAATATGAAAAATTTTTGATTTTAACTTAAAAAAAAAAAATTCCTTCAAATATAAGGCAATTTTTTATTTATTTAACCAGAAATTGCAAAACTATAATCCAAAAAAGAAAAAAAGAAAAAAAAAAAACAGAAAAACAAAAAAAGTATTTTCATTCAAATAAAAAACAATCTTAAAATAAAAAACTAAGCAAAAAAAAATTCCATTTTTTTTTATTCATAAAGGAAAGAATTTTAAATATAAAAAAAACTTCCAAAATTATCTGGTAACCTATAACATCGCATCATAAAAGAACTTTAACCTTGTGACTTCAAAATTCAAATCACTTTGTATAAGGATTCATAAAAAATTAAAGTAGAAAGAAGAAAAAAAGGAAAAGAAAAATCAGAAAAAGAAAAAACGAAAAAAGAAAAATTTGAAAGGGAAAACAAATTATCCTTTATAACTTTGTTCTCTTACAAAATATTACATAAAAAAAAACAACAATAAAACAACAAAAAAAAAGAGAACAAAAAAAAAAAAACAAGATGAAATTTTCATTCACTGAAGAGGCTATAAATCACAAAGACGCAGAAATTTTTTTTTTTTCACAAAACTTAAGTTACTCATACGTGTGTGTTTGCTTGTGTGTACAAAAGTAGTTATAAGTCAAACTAAAAACTCAACCTTCTTGATATTTTTCTATATATACAACTTTCTCTATTGCTAATATTAAAAAATATAAAGAACTTTAAAATATTTGCATTTTAGAAGATTTAAAATCTAACTATGAAAAAAAAAGAGAACAACATGAAAACTTTTGGTATAGCTGTTTGCATCATACGATGATGATGATGATTTGGGTCTGATATGATGATGGTGATGTCTGTTGCAAAGTAAACAAAATATAAATTTTCCAAATAAAAAAAAAAAACAAAAATTCAGTTTTGTTTTTTGGAGCAAAATCCCCAAGGTGTTCAAGCAATGATAACATGTGAAAAAAAAAAAAATCAGAAAAATCTAGTTCTATGTACTATGTGCTTATAGGTAGGTTCTAGTCTACATAGAATCAGATTCGTGTAGTCATGCTTTAGCACATACAATATACATGTACTGAAGGAAAGATGCACGTAATAGAGGCAAGCAAAGTTGTTAAAAAATATTTGGATACTTTTTTTTTTAATGAATTTTGTGTTGCTCCTCTTTTTTCTTCTTTTTCTGTTGTTTTTATAACTAACGTGCTCTCTAACGCATAATGTCACATATATTTATATAAATATGAAAAAATGCATAGAAAAAAGAAAAAAATAGGAACAAATTATTGTTAACCTGTTTGAAATATTGAATAGGATTACCACATTCTACTAAATGAATTTTAAAAATTTTTAAAGAATTAGAGTCAAGAATAAGAGGCTGCAGAGAATTACGAAAATTTTCGTTTTGGAACATGTTTCCGAGTCTGTTACAAAATGTTCGTAAAAGTAGTAACATGTTACTACCGCAAGTAAAAACATGTCACAAGACTAGCGATTGCCGGCATGTGATATGCTGAATTTGTCTTATACAGGAGTGGTCCATCCGAAATATTCATTGTGGAAGAATATGTTATGTTGGTTAAACCGATGTGGAAGTTTGTTTAGGAAAATTTGCTCTTAACATGATTTCATAGACGTTAATGTTGGTAGGTTGGCTAGTTGATATGGTCGATGCAGCAGGTTTGCTACCATGACCCCGTGGTCAACAGATCGTCATTAAGTGCACGATTACAGGTGACCTATCTAAACCACCAGGTTCTTTTGAAGCATTTTCCAAAATCCCCGGTGCCAATTTTCAATATCTCGCTCATCCATTCTGGCTCCCTGAGCCGGATCCTCGCAGAGATAGTGAAAAATTGTCTTGTTCTTATCAACTTCATGGCAGCTACCACACGTCTTATGGAAGGCAATTTTAGCTTAGTCATATGCTCCCAAGTAGACTGCCATCAATACGAAAAACTGCTTTAACTTGATAAGGGAAAAAATATTTTGTGATGTTTGACCTCCCTTTTCATTACAATTAATTTTTTTTTGCACTCTACCTACCTACCTCGTTTCAAAATTTTGTAATATAAAGTACTTTTGTTCTTTTGAGAATCAAAAAATTTCTATTCCGATTATTTTCAGAGAATTTCTACACAAAGTTAATTAAAAGTTTTATAACTTTACGATATTAAAAGTACCGGAACTTTAAAAAGTGTCTCAAACTTCCGATCAAACTCTCGGTTTTCTGGCAATCTTGATTGTGTTGCGCACCCAATTATCCTATACTTACATACGTACATTATATAAAAAAAAATTCACTTTATTAGTAAATTTTTGCATGAAATTCTGCATAACACAAAATTCACAATATTTAGGTCGGTCTTTATGGTGTGAACAAAATTATGTACAAATATTATTCCTATACACACATAGATATGTATATATGTTTGCGTGTATATTATGTATAAAATTGTGGCATAATGTATAAATAAAGTTTTATTTAATATTCAACTACAATATACCAGATAGTATTATTAAGTTCTGTAAAATATTTAACGATGCGCTAAAGGTGACAAACAAAATTTTTATCAGGTATTCATAATTTACCAAACATAATTTTCCTCTGCATATGTATATTTTAATGTATATCACTATATTCATATAGTTAAAAAAGGCTAAAACCCAAAAAAATGATGGTTATCATTAAAATTAGGTTAGGTTTTTGTTTTTTTTTGTCCTTTTATACATTTTGAAGGTGAGTATTCTCAGGGAAGCTTATAACATTTTATTTTGGATATTTTATTTTTGTTATTTTCGGTTTTCCTCTTTTAACTTTCATTTTGTAATCTCATAAATAGCGGATTGTTTGAACCAAAGGTTTTATTTTAGGAATTATTGTGCAAGTACACGTTATTGCTCTATATTAATATTTATAGTGCATTATGTATAAAATATGTATTAGTGCCTTAAATTAATAGTTGTATACAGCTATAATTTTTATTGTTGAAAATTTTAAAAATGAACGTTTTGTTAAATGAATCTCTGCTACCAATTTTAAAGCTGTTAGTTGTTTTTGTATAACAGTTTTAAAATATGGTTGGAAAAAATATTTTCGAGGATATTAGATTAGGCGCAATATCGATGAATTTACTCGTATATTTTTTATTGTTTTTTTAGATCGAAATCTGAGTTTCCGTCGGGGTCTGAAAATATTTAAAGAAAACTTTTTGAACCATTATTAGTAGTTGATACTCTATTATTAATAAGTAAATTTTAAAAAATTATCGAAAAATTATTCTCAACATAAACAGAGATACTTATATATATTTACATTTAAAATAAATACAATTACTCTTTAACCGTCCTCCATCCACTCATTTTGATAGCATTTTTTCTAAAAAAAATTTCTTTTTTATATTTTTAGCTTCCTCATAGTGTTGTTGGTGAGGAATTAGCATTTGTATTTGGAGCACCTCTAGCTAATGTTGGCCCGTTTCATCAAAAATATACCACTTCAGAAAAACTACTTTCAGAAGCTGTTATGACATACTGGACAAATTTTGCTAAAACTGGGTAAATTTAAAATATTTTTTATTAAAAGTAGAACCCAAAATAATAATTTTATAATATAAAAACAATATTCTTTTAAAATAATTGTAGAAATCCAAAAGCACCATGGAAAGGAGGATTTATAAATTCACATAAAATGGAATGGGCACATTATGATGTAGATTGGCCTGAATTTAATAAACGTAATCAATGTTATGTTAACATTGGTATGTTATTAATCGATTTTTATTATTATTATTATTTTTTATCTGTATAAAATTTTATAGAATGAAATTGAAATCTTATTTATAATCCTTTAGGAATACCACCATCATTGGAAATGAAATATCGTAATATTTATATGAATTTTTGGAATAAAGAACTTCCAAATGAATTGAATGAAATTGCAGCAATGCAAACAAAACCAAAAATACATTTTTATCCACCAAGCAATAATGGTGCCATAACAAGAAATAATTATAATCGTAATGATGATAATATTATTGCTGGTCATATACAAAAATTTCCATCAAATATGGCTCATCAAGGTAACGTTGGTGGTGGTGGCGGTTCAACGAAAATTGAAAATCCAATTCATGAATTAAAAATGTTAATGAAAGAGGAACAAAATTATTTGGGATATGGTGGTGAAGGTAGTATTGGTGGTGGTGGTGGAAATAATGCTAACAATAATAATAATTATAATAATGGTTATTCTCCAATTGATAATATGTTAAATGCCCAACCTACTTTTGGTATCACACATTATAAATCATCTGAATCATCTAAAGATCCAACAACATCATTGAGTAATTATGCCAGTGAGCCTGAAGATTTACCGAGAGATATTCTTCGATCTGAAGGTGCATTGCATATACTGATCGGATTGATTGTGTTATTTTTAATATTAAATATAATTATTTATTCAACATTTTTATTTAAAAGGAAAAAGAAAAATTCAAATCAAACGAATAGAAAAGTTGGCGGTTTTATTTCATATGATGGAACGAATGATGATGATTTAAAACGTTCCAAAACAAATGATGGTGATGACAGTTATATTTTGGATATGGTGAAAAGGCCTAATGGTTATGATTATGTTAAAACAAAAAGCTTATCATTAAATGGTTTTAAAATCACTCGACAATTGAGTACAAGTACAGTTGATGCGCATGCTAAAGTATCTGATTGGATGTCAAATGATATTGATAAAAATAGTTCTGTTACAAAAAGTTCAATAAAAACTTCTCCTTCGTTTTCACTTAAAACTCGTAGCTTTTTAAGGCGTCCACATAAAGTTAGTGTGGCGATTGATGCTACACCTCAAGCTCGAAGCGATAGTATTTTAAGGCAGGAACCTATTGAAATATCAAAATATAAAGGAACAGATAACACTAGAAGTATAATTATTTGTCAAGAAATCGATGTTGATGTTGATATGTTGGAACCGGAAACATACAATGCAACACAAAATTTAGGTCTTTATGGTTATACAACTGCAGCGACAAGAAATGATTTACAAAATCAGGAAAAACGATCCTCTGGTGAATCTCCATACATATCAGCTTTTAATTCACCACAAACTTTTAACGACGAACAAATCACCAGTTTTATTGATGATAATCGAAGTGATATTAATGTATCAACATTAAAGCAGAATGAACGTGACAAATATGATCCAAGAAATAAATTGGGAATATTAGCAGAAGACAGTAGAAATTATCAAAATGTTGGTTTACCTAATGATAATACAAAATGTCAGTTATCATTAGCAACTTCAATAAACAAAATGCCACCAGCACCACCACCACGTACTATGTCAACACTTCGACAAATACCACCATTACTACATCAAAGAGAAAGTTCAGTAGATATAACAACATCACCGTTAGCAATAGCAAAAGACTGTAGTCCAGATGAGGCTGAAGAACCACCAATTACTGAAAATACATTAATTGTTGGTCCATTATTACCAAAAACACATGAAAATTTATATTCAACTCTAAAAAAGAAACCACAATCACAAAAAAAATTAAATTTAAATCAAATTGAAGAGACTGTTATAAATGATGAGACTGTTTGTAAAAATGAAAATGAAAATGAAAATACAACTGTAATAGAAATTTCTCCAAAAATTGATTTAGATGATAAAAAATTAATAAAACCATCTGGTATTAAACCACCAACAATTTATCCATTAAAAACAGCAGCTGAATTAAAAGAAATACAACAAAATAAAAATAATCAAAATATAGGAACTGGAAAAATATCATTGCTTGGTATGGCTAAAATGAATAAAAATATTATTGAAAAATCAAAAATACCACAATTAAAAACAACTGAATCACGACAGCATAAATATCGTGATAAAAGTAAAAGTATAGATTCATCATCATCAGAATCAAGTTCAAGCACGGAAACTGTTAAAACAGAATTAAAACAAATTAAATAGTGTTAATTATATAATATTTTATTGTAAAACCATTATAGTATTTAATTATTTACAAAACAATAATACATTTTATTTATTATTTTCATAATAAATTAATTAAAATATTAATATGTATTAACCATATTATAATACCACATATTATTTTAAAATAATAATTTTTGAAATCATTTTATTTGAATTTAAAAAATAATTTAAATAATAATAAATTTTCATTTTCCAAGAAAATGATTACTGACTGTAAATATTTATTATAAATGTATGTATAACTTTAATAAGACTTACTTATTAGATTGCATTATTGTTATATAATAAAATATTGTATAACAATTAAATTTTAATATTGCCAAAAAAAGAAATATGATTGTAGAAAACGGAATGTACAAGAAAGGATAAAACAAAGTAAAAAAAAAAATTAAAATAAAATAATAATAATTTTTTAATTAATTTAATTTTTATTTTTAATTAATACTTTGAATTCTTTAATATTTATATTATTTAAATTGCATATAATTAATATACAATAATTTATATTTTAATGAGCTAATAATTTATATGATGTGAATATAAATTTTTGATTAAAAGATATAAAAAAAATGTATATGTATGTATATAGATGAAAAGTATATTATAATAATTCACAATATCCATGTATAACAGATAAAATATTGGAATAAAATCTAAAAGTTAAAATATTTAATAATATAATAATTCTAATGTTTTCAATTATGTAAATCAAAATTCATTCAATAGCATTTATCAAAACAAAAAATTTTTTTGATGAAAATGATTTCTGTGTGTAGAATCAAATGTAAATAAAAAGTTTACATATTTTCTAAATTTATAAATGATTAAAAATGCTCAAAGCAATTTTTTCTTTTGTAGGACAGCAAAAAACGATATTTGGTTCTACACTTTCTGAGATATTATAGAGAGAATTTCATAGTAGAAAAATATAAAGTAAATTTTCCTCTGGGAAATTTTTCACATGAGAGAGCTCGAATTGGGCTAAGTAAAATTGGTATATTGATTTCGGCCCAAACGTATAATGCTCTAGAATCTAGAGGAACGAAGGACAATTAAGAAATCATCAGGAATTCTACTAAATTTTTATATTGAAACGAATCACATTCATGAGGCATTACAAAATGCTTGTTTAATATCACTGGCAAATTTTGGTTGACAATATAAAACATGCTGGGAGATATTGAAAAAATCTGAGTTGCCTAAGTAATGCCTATCCTCCTATCCTTGTTTCTGTTTCAGCATTATATAAACAAATACATTCACATTGGAAAACAACAAAACAAAGAAGTGAAAATATCATCATTACAAGTCGCAGTATGAATCATTCACACAGATTATCATAAAATTATTGACCCGGTATGCTACTTAAGCTTTATATTATAAATCTTAAATTTAATAATTTATATTAATAAAGAATTCATTGTATACCTACAGAAAATAATTTTATGTTTTCGACTTTTAAATAAATTGTTAAAATTTTCTTTTAATATAATTTTATACATACATGCAAAACTCAAGTGTTAATTTCAGAATAATTAATAATATTATTAAAATAACATCAATTTTATCTTTAAATGTACTTTAATGAAATTTGCATGTTTAATTAAAAAAACAAAAAAGATTTATAATATAAATTATATTATGCAATTTATATACCTATATATATGTATACATATAACAATTATTCGTGCCGGAATATGTATATAAAATAAATCTTATATAATTGTAAACCAATTCTATAAATCCTTTTTAAAAAGCATAAAAGTCAATTTTAATATTCACATTTCAATAAAATACATATACAATAATTTTAAATCTTATTAATTCTTAAATAACTTTAAGCTTTCTTTTATGTGTTCATGTACACACAATAATGTATATGTATTATTTGTATATATATAATGCATTATAGGAATGTTCATACACATATAAATAATCCCTTAATAGAATCTTTTGAAATTTTTCAGATTTCAGATACAGAGATTGAACAAGAGAGAGTGATAGAGAAAGAAGGAGAAAAATTTTATTTAATTTATTTAATTTTTTTTTTAAACAACAAGTTGTTAATCTTCTTATGAACTTGATAATTTTAAAAAGTCAAAAGAGAAAGATAGGGAAAGAAAGAAAGAATAAAAGAAAAAAAATAGAAGAGTAAAAACTAACCGGAATAAAATAAAATTTAAAATGTAAATAAAGTATCATAAAATCTAAATATTGGCACTATAAAGATTTCCTTTCAATTCCTTCTTTATTGCAATTATAATAGATTCATAACCTAGTTGAAATTTTCCAATTTTAAATATTTACATAATACACATTTTTAAACAGTGCAAGGATCCTTACACAAGCAATTTTTTGTCTTTTTCTTTCATTTTATCACATAAACATAGCCTCACAAGTCACAACTTACATAATACGAGTATAAGTAAAGAGTTAATAAAAATGTAAAAAATCTGAATTTTTATAAGATTTTGCTTAAGCAAAAGATTGAATCCTTGAAATCAAATAAGTGTTTGACTTTTAAATTTTACGAAAAATATATATGAAATCTCTATTGTAGTGCTAAAAGTGGGGGACCCCGCTAGGCCACTCACATGAAGTCTATACACAAGGCCAACAAGGAGGCATACTCCCTTGGTAAGTCACTCGTCATAAAAGACGGCTCCCAGGATTAGCTTCCTCATCCATATCAGAGACAGACAGACACAAAAAACTTTTTTCACATATTCAATACCTCCGCAATATCTTGACATCCCCGACAAACACAATTAAATATTAATTGTAAACCCATTTGACGTCGACGTCATTTGCATTGCGAAATGGCCCAAAAAAAAAAAATTGAGTTGTTTTGACGTTGGCAACTGTAACAATTAACTTTCTAAATTCCATCTGGAATTCTTTAATTTACTTTTCAAGGTTCTAAACATCAGTATAATTTTATTCCATAGAGAAATTTTAATAGTTGTGTTCAAATTTTCTACTATGCAACTTATATTGCACGTGTGCCCTAAACTTTTCTTTAGAGATCTGTAAAATATATTTTTTGTAATTTCTGCAATATAACTCAAACGTAATTATAATAAGTGTATGAAAATTTTTATTTTGATATTGATATTGTAAGGATATTATAAATTCACTTGTATTACAAAAATTGTGTTTAAAGAAAGAAATAAAATTTCGTAAAAAGTTCGTATATTTTACAATTAAATTTAATATAGAAGAATCACAATAAATTTCGATATAGAATTTTAAATCAATGAATACAATGTAAAGAAAAATGGAAATGGATTAGTCACATATTAAGGCGCCCAGTAATATCAGTAGCACGTCAGCCTTGGGAGAAAAACCCCCAAGGGTGAAGAAATGTGGAAAGACCACAAGAGACATGGAAAAGAAGTGTGTAGAAAGAGTTGAAGCTGAGCAATAAAACATTGGCAGAAATAAAGAGGCTGTCATAAAACATAGAAAGTTGAAGAGCTTATGTTGAAGACCTATGTTCCAATAGGGATGAAAATATGAAACAGATTGCTTAATCGAAATTTCTTGAAATTGTGTAAGAAACATTGCATTAAATTAATAATGCCACACATATTTTTTATTAAAGCATATTATAAATTAATTAAATTTTATTTTCGAATATTTTCGAAAATTAATTATCGTACAATAGGAAGCATATATTTTTTATTATTCGTGTTCAAGTGTTTAAGCAAAAATTGTGGCATTACAAATTTGTGTGCAAATAAAATTTTTTACAATTACCAATACATAAAAAATATTTTTGATAAAAAGTGTTTTCTCCTCTTCAAATTTAATGTTATAAATTTAAGATTTTAATGGTACCTATGCCAACCTATTTAGAGGTTAAAATAATTTTCATCTTTAGTTGTTCTTTTCACTGTTTTTTCATCGCTTTCTATAGTCTAATAATATTATATGTTACTTATGATTTTAGATATAAATGTGCTTATACAGTAAATCCACTTAGTTAATTATTTATTTTTTTTTTTTTTTGCAAAAGAAGAAATATTTCAATCAAAACAATGCATTGTATGCACTTTTGAATATTTTCGAATTTTATATATCAAGTATAATCTAGGTGTGTATAAGGACCATATTGTTATTATAGTTAACTAATTTTATTTTCTAGAAAATCTGAAAATCTTTTGCCGTAAAGTTTACAATACTTATATATACAAACATAAAATATTGCTATATTAAGTATAGAAAATTACCTATATTAAATTAGTAAATATATATAGTTATATATACAGTTATATATATAGGATATAAAATATTATCATTTGAAATTCAAAATGCACTTAAAATTAAAATTCTCTTCAATTCTATCATCCATATAAGTTTTCCAATGCAATAAATATTATTAAGGAGAACATAATATTGCTTGATATATTATATATAAGTTTGGTATATATATCATTATATATAAAATAATTGTAAAGTTATTAGTAAAATTATTGTAAATATTTGATGTTTATATTTATGAGCGTAAAATGATACGTTGTCGTTATAATATTGTTGATATATTTTGTAGACCTCGGTAACGTAACAAAATATTTATATAAATGTATGAATAATATCAACAAGAATAGTATATATATATATATATATGATATATATATATATATATATGATATATATATATATATATGACGTAAATATAATGTTAAAGTTTATCATAGAGAGAATGTGTTTGGAAAAAGTTATTTTTCATTTTTTTTTTCTACAGTTTACACATATGTAAGTAACGTATGTAATGTATTTGTAAAAAATACATAATATTGTATGGCTTTAACGATATGAACATATGAAATGTAAAGATTATTTTGAAAATTTTATAATAGTAATTTACTGTATATATTTATTATATATATATATATATATATATTATTATAATATATAATAAAATATATAATATATATATATATATATATATTTTATTATAATATATATATATATGTATATATATATATATATATATTATAAAGTAATATAATATTTTCCATATAACAATTACAGGAAAATTATAAAAATGATATATTAAATTTGTTTGTTGATTTGTAATACAATATCTTGTAAAA